CCGCCACAAATAGACTCATCACCTCGAAGGATCACGCCTTGACAAGCTGTCCATTTTTATACCTTGGATGGAATTTGCATTGGTTGCGGTGAGACAAGGCAGAAAAGGAAACCCCAAAAACGAAATCGGATCGAGTGGTCGACGAGGTCAGAGAGCAACAGAAAAGTCAATGATGATGGACAATGGAGGCTTCATCGCCGTCGGTGAGAGGAGAGAGTGGAGAGGAAATTCCTTTTAAATTAAAATTCATGGATTTGAGAGTAAGATTGAAATATACGGGTTTTACTTTTTAAATTACTTCGATGAGATACATGTATTTGATTTAAATTCAATTACTTTTTATTTATGTAAAAATAAATAGTAATATTGAATTTTAAATATTGAAATTCAAATATATTATGATTGTATTTGAAAATATATATTTGTATTTAGAATACATATATTTTAAAATATATTGTTTGAATTAAAATAAAAAATTTTAATTTTTAAATATATATTTTTAAATTTATTGTTTAGATATTTTAAAATATTATGTATTTAAAATTAAATTTTTTTATTAAATTAAATCTTCTTCTTATCATTATTTAAATTTAATAAAACTAAAGTTAACTATTTTAATCTTCTAAGGCATTGTTTAAATTACCTAGACAAACAAATTGGATAAAATAAAAAAGCAGCAATGACCTCCACTAATTAATTTGTTTTCATGTTTTTCATTTTTTGTTTATTTTTTTCATTATCATACAATATTTAATTTTCACAAAAATAGATTTATCATCAAAGAATTTCATTATAAAAAATAAAGAAACAAATAACATTTACAATGATTATCAATTATGTCCATTAATAAGATAGTTGAGGTAACACTTTTTAATTACAAAATAAAACAAAAATATGACATCCTTTTTTAAAGACGTCAAAGTAAACCACTAAATCAAGATTGAAAGTTGAGAAGGAATAGATCCTATATCACCAACAATAAATTAATCAAACAGACTAGCTAATAAAATCTTCAACAACACTCACCGGATAAGATAATATCTAACCATTCATGTTAGACTTATATTTGCTGTTGAACCATTATTTTTCTCTAGAAAGAACATCCAAAAGAAAGAAACATGGTGAAACCAAA